TTTCACCAGGTTTGGTCTGAGGTTAAAGAGTTGGGACTGGTGTGAAATGCCAAATAGGACAGGATTTGGGGAAATATCGGTAATAGGGTTGATGCCACGTAGCAAAAACCGGCCTTCAAAAAGTATACAGATAATCTAAAACTGGGGAATACTGTCCAGCCCGTCAATGGTTTAATCTGTTGAGGGCAGGCTGCATATGAGCATTTGTTACATATCAAGCGCCCATCATCAAACACTACATCAAAGAAAGGAAATACAAACTTTAATCAGCCTACATCTTAATTTCATCTTTAAATGCTGACCAAAGGGTTTACCAGTCAAATGTATTTTTATTTTTTTAGCTATTGTATTGTTTAGCAGCAGACAGTCAATCGGTTGCTCCACCACTTTGGTACTGACTTAACCCATAAGGACCCACCGTGACACGGGTGTCACATGAACTTTAAATGTTCTGGAAAGTTCCTCATACAGCTTTAGCCTTGTTTTTATATCATGAAGTCCCTAAGTGACACACACTGAACAGTCTGGTGGGGCATGGTCCAGGACATGTGATTTTGTGTTCCCATAACAACATGTCCAAGATGTCCATGTGCCAGACTAACATGTGACATAACGAGCTACATTTCAAAAGCTTTTTTTTTGTTGCTAAAGGTAAAATTCAAGCCATTTAAGAATTCAAATGCATAACATTTCCTTCATTACATGTAACCTGTTGTGGAAACATTTCTTGATCAAATTGATATGAAACAAATGAGACAAACATTGCTGTGACACATGGTGTCACATCAGGACTTTAACCCTAAACGTTCACAGTAAACCCAAAGTGACATATATGCACAATTAGAAATATTATTATGATCTGCTCAGTTAATTTAGCTGATTCAATTATATTGAGTTGATATGTTCTTATTCTTCAATTAAAAGAATGTTCAAACTAATTTAAACCAGAATCATCCTTGTTAATGAAGTTATAAGAGTTATTTTACCATTAAAGCCCAATGTGACATATATGTCACATTTCAGATATTTGACACTATATCTATTTCTTGTCAGAAATGTGTTCTAGGTGGTCTATTTAGTCTAAATTATGTTCCCCTTAATTTTCACAAAAGTAGAAATGGGTCCGGGTTCTTATCTTTTATCTCATAAATATTATGAGAGTTTGAACAGAGATATAGGCCTATGGTCAAAATATGTATATATACTTTGGTTTATGACCAAAGTATTAGACAAGAATATCAACGCCCTTGTCAACACCCTCAGCAAGACATGTGTTCCATGATTATTAGCAAAAGCATGCAAACACGCTAACATAAACTGATGAACAAGGTAATTTTAGCATGTTAGCATTGAGCTCAAAGCAGTGCTGCACCAAGTACAGCCTCACAGAGCTGTTAGTTAGCAAGAGTTAAGACTCTATATTCAACTATAATGCACACAAAGATTTGTGAGGATGAAAAGAAAAAACATCAAATTAAGGTATGAAGTTAAATTAGTCTTTGCTTTTTAGTTATCGACAGTACAGTAGCAGCTTGCTGAGTTGGTGGAGTGAGAATGAGGAGAACGTTTCTTGGTGGGCAGCAGCCTGTAGCCTAATGTGTGGGATAAGTAGCCTACTTCTGACGGAGAGTTTAGTCTCGTGACTGGGCTGCTAGAGACAACAATGTGGGTAAGTCTCTTCCACTTTTGCCCCATGCTTAAGGTCTGCGGCTGCTAATAATATGGAATGACTTGTTAAGTATTGCAGAGGAATTATATCTCCACGTGGTGCCTAATGTTAATCACACAATGCCACAAGAGGGGTCCTTTATTCCCAGCAATGTATCCAGAGCTCTTGGATCCTGCATCCTTCATAATAAGTACTGAATGAGACGGAGTTCATTGTCCTCTTTCTTGGATCTCCTTTTCTCAGAATTTCCTTTGCATTTGCATGAGGGACCTCCCTTTGCCTTTCAAAGCAACAAAGAGCTCTATTAGGCATACAGCAGTTGTTTGGCAAGCGACTCATTCTTTCAACACAGCCTCCATGTTGTCAAATTCAGATTAACTTAGCTCTTGTTAAACCAAGACTCATGCAAAAAACATATACAGGATACAATCATTCTGAATTGCCTTTTATTTCCCTTTCATCTGTCTCCTTTCTCAAATAATAGGATCCCATTTAAGGCCTTAATGCAACACAATAGTTCATAAATATTGAGTTATATGGTAAGCAGGTGTCTCATTAAGATGCTGAAATTAAAACATGGGACAATTATGCATATCCATGGGTATATAAATTGAATATTTATACCCTCTTTGCGCCATTCTCGTTTACTAGATTGTAAGACTCGCTGCCTGCCACTATTTGCAGTGCTGTTGTGTTGTGATTGAATCAGGTTGGTGCGTTTGATGCCTCTGCTGCAGTGAATGGTAAAGCCAAACCTCCCCCCCCCCACACCTCCCATAGCTAAGCCTTGTTCTCAGCCAGTGCCAGCCTCCAATATCTGAGCTCATCCCACCCGCTCTGCAGGATCTAGCGCCAGCCCTGCCATGCACTGCCCTCGAGAGTGGGTGGCATCACATGGCCCTTCAGCCTGCCTTCTGGGGCTTGGCTTGGAGGAAGAGGGACGTACACACACACACACACACACACACACACACACACACACACACACACACACACACACACACACACACACACACACACACACACACACACACACACACACACACACACACACACACAGGCCTCTGTGTGATTAAGACCACTGCTGCTGCTGACCACAGCTCCCTCTTTTACTGTGGATTAATTCTATACTGAGTCTCAAAGTCAGCGGTGCCCACACACCTCAGTGGAGCATAGCCCACAAAGCCTCCCACGCTCTAGACTTAGAGCGTGTTTAGGTTGGGTGCACCAATCAGGAGCGGGTAACACCACCCACCTACCCCCTCATCCTCATCTTCCATCTCTCTCACACAATGTACTGTACTCTCCCTCAGATAATGCATTTGAAATAACAAATAAGTCATGGTTGAGGTTCTTGCCACACTGTAAATCCTTGAGTTTATTCTGCGTGCAGAATTCACCTGGAGCCCGGCTGCACAGGAGTTGAAAATCCAAAGAAAAGGTGTGACTGAAGAGATAAAACAGTCAAACCGAAACCACCTCCTCTGCCCCCGCATCCTGTACGCAGGGGGATACAAGATGAGCTCTCACTGCTCATATATCTGTCTGTACTTTGCCCCGCATCTGCAGCACAATAACTCACTAGAGTGGAGAGAATGTGTCATCCTGAGAATAAACACGTGACTGAAAGACTTGCCCCCCTGAGAGAATATGTGCCTCTCCCACACAACTGGCAAAACCTGAGATCTTTCTCGTAATTCGACAAGATATGTGTGAATTAGCTCAGTCAGTGGTCTGCAGAGGGACTCGGAGACTCTGCTGTTGCATGACAAGAGGCTCTACCATAATGCGGAGGAAAGATACAGGATTGTTGTATTTAAAAGCCCAATCTTCCTTGACAACAGCTCCAAGACAATCAAACATCATATAAACACATGAAAACGGACTATGCGGAAGTCTCTCATGTTGCCACACAAATATGAAAAACAAGCTCTGGGAACATGCCGGCTGTGATGGCACACCACGTTGTGAGGTGGTGCCAGGGGTGGCAGCTTGTCTGGTGTGTAGCGTGGTGTACGGGTTCTCCAACCTGCCTGGAGACAGGAGGTGTGCAGATTGAGAAGGAGAACACCAGACTCCTCATCAAGAATTTGAATGGCTTTGTCCTTTCTCTTGCTTCCTGTCTCGTTCCACATCGATGATTCATTGTAGATCAGGTCATGCCTGCGATCTCTGCTGGTGTTGGTGGGCATACTTGGCTTAAGAGAAATGAAGGCTTGCTGCTGGTGATTTTGCGGAACAGCACATGCAGATGGAGTGATAAACTCTGCTTTGGCTTGTCACATGGAGTTAAAAGTACACTTAAGTAAATCATCCTTTTTTTCTCAAGGGCCCTGAGTATATACAGGAAATGCAACATGATTTGTCTATTTGGCCTGAAAGACAATAAGGAAGGAAGGAGTCCCCAGCACTTGGTGCCCCACCCATTGTTGATACCCCAGCAGTTACTGTAAATGTTTGCATGGGTGAAATAATGGAACAAGGTGTACTTCCTGTTGCAAGAAAAATACTGAAGCTCATTGCACGCTTGTGAGGAAAGGCTGTGAGACAACTGGGACATATCATTGCACCCACTTCTATGTTAATCTGCTGTAATTCTCATAAACTGGATTTATATAAATCTGACATTCACAAGACTACTTTCCTTCTTAAAAAATAAATAACACCCACTCTTTCTACCCACATGAATGAGCAACACTGTTCCTGTAACTTGTGATTATGAAGTACAGTATATGTTGATTGCACAACATAACGGCTGTAGAATAATGACACCATCTGCATTTTGATTGGTTTCCAAGTAACGCATTACTTTCAAATGCAATTCTGTCTACCTCTAGGTTGCAAACTCCCTTTACAATAAAAGTCCTAGAAATATAGACTCTATCAGTGCTGACCAGCTTAACATTTTACTAAGAGCCAACCCAAGAAAATAGTAACAGTAGCTTTTCGTAGTTATTGAAACAATTGCAAAGTAAACTTTTGAATAGAACAAAACCTGTTTAATAACATTAAAGCTGCAGCTAGAAGCTGGTTAGCTTAGCTTAGCATAAAGACTGGAAACAGGGGGAAACAGTAATCCTGGCTGAGTCAAGGGATAACTAATCTGCCTACCAGCAACTCTGAAGTTCACCAATTAATTTGTTGTATCTCCTGCTTCTTTTCCGTACAAATAGCTTTCACAACTCTTCTCTTCTTATACAACTAGCCTATGTCTTAAGCACTAATCCTTACCCCTTAATATAATGTGTGTTGATTCAGCCAAAGTGGTCGCTGTTTGGCTAAAATCCAAGTAGACCTTTAAGCGAAAAGGAAATGAGCAACAAAACACTTGTAGCTGCTTATTTTATGAATTTATTTCCAATTGTAAACTTCACTATTTCATGCATACAAGTTATGACAACATACATTATCCAACATACATTATCCAACAATCTGTTATTTTTCATATTTGCATAGGACATGGTCACAATATATTGTCTAACATGTAAAAAATAATGCCATAAAAAGGTACAGCAGAGCAGCTAAGACCAGCACATTGAATGTGTGAGAAATCCCGAACTGTACAACTGTAATACTTGAATGTAGTGATTTTGGTTTGCTGAGAGAAAAAAATGACACCTGAAGGTTAGAGTGAGGTCAACGGAGAATGTACTGGCCATAGCTGAGTCGAGAGTTATTTACAGATTAGATTATACTGGTGCTGAAAGGGGAAGCAGCACCACAGAGTCACTACAACAGGCAACTGATGGTGATGGGCAGAGGGGAAACACACAGAGGTATCAAGAGAGCAACATTACACTGAGGACAAACAGGTACGGAAACAGAACCAAGGGGCTGGTGAGAGGCTCTCTCTTTAGTTAAAGGGAGGTCATTCACTGCACTGTGTACTGCATAACCTAGAACACACTAATCCTTTAAGGGCAAATATGTCCAACGCTTGAAAAGCCTTTTTGTCAGTGTGCATTCCTACAGTGAAGAGCAAATGCCGTACAGTTTCAGTTCAGGCAGTCAAGCAAGACCACATGGTCAGTGAAGGGTACAGACAGATGTGGTCTGCTACTCTGCATGTTCCTACTCACTCAGTCTCTTTTGTTTCTCATATTTTACTCAGTCACAATTAGTTTTGCTCGTATGATTGAACAGGTTTTGTTCATTCAAGTGATTTTCAGAAAAAAAGAAAACAAAATTGCTTATTTGAGATGTAGAAAAAGGTCCATATCAAGCATAACATCCATTGATCAACAATTATCAGCATGTAAAGTTGAACCCAGGGGTCCAAAGTGGGTTGGGTTCAAAATTACTGCAACATTCATCTTTCCCTTCAAAGCATTTGGTAACAACTTGTAACTGTGGAGCTGTGATGAGCTGCGAAAACTCAAAGCTCCTTCTCACTGCTCGAGAACAACTCTCTCCTTTCATGGCTGCCTCTTAAAACATTTCATAGATCCTCAGGCCTTTGTCATGAGGGAAGACATGCCCTGTATGTCCTTATCTTTTAAATATCATACATTTCTTTACTTTAAAATATTGCATGTATGTTGTTCTTTCCAATTGGTTTAACCTATACAAAGAGCCCGCAGAGGAGAGAGGAGAGATTAAACCTGGGAAATGTTGACAATGAGAAACGTACCTTGTGCTCAACTCACAACGTGTAAAAACTCACAGTCAAGACAGACTTCTATTCATAATCTACAAAAATGCATCGGGTCCATGTAAGCAGCACATGTATAGCAAATGCAATTTTCAATCCTTTGGAATGGTTGGGCGTTAATATTCATTAAGATTGTTTATGTCAAAAAATACCTGTAATAAGCCATTATACATTGCTTGAGTATTGTACAGAAAAAGAAAAAAAGTACAAATTAAATAACAAGAACCAAATGAAAACAAAGCTACACAATCAAAAATGTTTACATAAAGCAGAAAAAAAATATTTAACTTAGAGCACTTGCATATTAAATATACAGTTGCTTCATTAAATCCTGTACATTACATAAAAACATGTGACACTTTATAAAACTGTACAAGTTTGTTAAATGTCTGATAGTAGCTAGGTTTGTTCACCCTCCACTGTTGTATCTTTAAGAAGTTACCAGTATAGTTTTGGCACACAATGCGTCCATCATGCTTGTTCGCTGAGACCAGTCATGAAGATGAGACGGTCTGATCCGTGATATATTCATGTAATCAATAGGAATTTAAAAAATAAGATTAATGTTAGTTCTTTACATGTGAAGGCAACAACCAAATCACTTTAATATATTTTACAATTAGCAGAACGAATATTAACTGGTACACAGTTACCATTGTGAAGAAACCTTGTATTTATTTTTGACCATTGTTTGTCCATTTGTCCTTTTTTCTCTGACAGATGTGGAAAGCTGTAATATTACCAGGATTACAATCGTAAAGTTGGATTTAGAAACGCTGAAGTGGAGGATCATAGTAGTTTACAGCTGACATCATCCCTCATGTTTAAACGTAGACAAATGGACTTCAGTAGAGAAGGTTTTTTAAAAATATTTTTATAACATAAATTGATAAAAAATACGGTTTTATTATTTCCTTGAAATATTACCTTTTGAATCTACAAGAATGTAGGACCCTGACAACAGAGGATGATTATATAAAATGTAGCCCAGTGTTTTTTTGTTTTAGTTTTTTTTTTACAGAAAACAGTCTCTTTCCTTCTTCATTCAAGGCAGATAAAACCACCATTATTTGTGCTACTCATCAAGCAAACTTAAGCTACATGATGGATGTTTTAAAAAGATATGAAGATACAACAAAAGTCAAATATTTCAAGAGGTATGATTTTTGAAAAAATATACAAGCATTTCATATGAGACAAAAAAAGCAATAATACAAAGTATGACTACATTGCTAACTCGCAATACTGTGGTCTCTATTCTTATGGAAAACGTTCAAAAAACTAAATAATAAAGAAATTACGTCACTCCAACTTACATTTTCGAACATAGAGGTCAGGAGGTTTCCTTTCCTTATCGTCATTTCCAAACAATCCATTCGTTTCTGACCTGGAGGAACTTTTGGATAACAGGCTGGAAATAACCTGCATCCTGACATCAACAGAGTTTAAAGTGTGTCTGACTAAAGGGGTGAACCCCATAAAAAGGAATATAATTATGTTTAACAAAACATGGTGCCTTTTTAAAAGCCCGACAAAAACAGTCAACCTTAGCTGTGATATATTCAAAAATGTTGCTGAAATGACCTGAAGACAATGGAAAATCTAGAAAAAAAGCCCTAAAATAAATCAAACATACTATACAACTTTTTCCAGGGAGGTTAATAATTATTTGACAAACAAGTACAGTAAAAATGAACATGTACAAAACTGTGTTCAATGGCCTTTTGTGTTGAATTATTCAAGTAGATTTGGTACAGTGAGAATAAAAGTTACGAGACACTCTTGCCCGTGGAGGCCTACAGTATACGTCACTGGTGCAGTCTGGATGGATTTGGATGTTTACACTGTCACAGTCTGTTTATTTTCCGATGGTAGAGCTTCCTGTTGCCTACTGTAAGTCCACTGACACTAAGGGTCAACGGTGTTTAAAGGGGCGTTTCACTGAAAAGAGCTCCAGAGTGCCCAGTGCTTACTAAGGCGCATAATAGTATAAACTGTAGGATGTTATGAAGACATTTTAGGCAGGAGCTGGGCCCCGTTCGGAGGCGTTCCTGTGTTCCAGTGTGGTCGGACACTGACCCGCAGTGAGCACCCAGGAACACCTGTGGGGGGGGGCTGGCAGACATTTCTGTGCAGGAACTGATGTTACAACAAAATCCACAAACTGTCCCATCATCTGCTTTGCGGATGTCGACCCTGAGGTAAATGTGCAGATTATGGTTTGAGAATCAATTCATGAAACCTGCTTGAGGGGGAGCTACTCATAACGTTTTTTTTGCAATAAAAAGTTACATTAGTAACCAAGTAAAAAAAATACCATAAAAGCAAAAAAATAGTCACGGATAGATACTACAAAAAGCTGCTCAACAGCTATCTGAAGAGTTTGTTTGTGAAAATCATAGTTGCTTTTTTTTCCCAGAAATGGTAAATGTAAAACCCTATCAGTGCTTCTTTCACAAAGAGCTGCTGATCAGTGGCATTCAAAGTGTCATCTTACAGTCTGGAAACTGTTTTAACATCTTACAGAGGGTTGGTTTTCTTTCAACATGTGTTGTTTTTAGGAAACTACTGCATTCAATCTAAATAAGGGATGTTTTCTTTCACGAGGATGTGACAGATCTGATTCTTCACAACTTTAAAGAGAGATGGCTGCTGTGGAGAACGAGGGACAAGGACGGCCATTCATGAACTTAACACCTGCCAGACCGCCTCAAAAACCCTCTGCGCTTCCAAGGCGCAGTTGTTAACATGCATATAGTGTGAAGCACGAGACTGCAGGGCGAGGGTCGCTGGTAGAAAGAAGCTAGCACACGCGATTAATGATGACAACAGTCTGGAGGGCTCTGACAGGACCAAACACATCAATGAAACTATTTCCGGTCGTAGTGCTGAAGCATTAAGAGAAAGTGTAGGCATAACCCAGACCGGCGGGGCTGCAGCAGTTTTGATAGTGGTGCCCGCCCCCATGGAAGGTTTACTGTGCCTTTTGCCTGACTTATTGAGGCATGTCTGTCTAGAAACACAAGTGAGCTTTCTCACAGGATATCTGAGCTTCACAGGGAGGACCATGCGAGGCTGGTGAAACTGCACCTTGCTGATATGTTCGTTTTGGTTCAAATGTTCAACAGTTTAAAAGCCCCCCTTTGTTTGCGAGAGAGAAGTTTGAAAGCAGCTGTTTGAGAGCCCTGGTTTATCAGTGTGAATTTGGAGCAACAGTTTTTTTCGATGGAGTTGGGTGTGTCCCACCCACACTGCTAGGGCTGACTAGGTAGTACTGTTGTTCTTGTCTCTATACGCTTATCCTACAGTTCGAATCATCACGCTAATCACGCCCATTTTTCTGCTCAATGTGTCAGCCGTCTGGAGGGAGGAAGATGGGGGTGTCTCCTACTCTGTGCTGCTCAGCTGGTGATAAACCTAACTTCTTTTATCAGGAGCAGCCCTCTCTTGCATGTCTATTGCAGATAGCCGCTTTGTTCTCTCTGTGCTCCATGTCCCGGCTCTGCCCAGCACTCTGGCCTACATTTGACCCTCCCACCTTACGCAATTTGGCGGAGTTGGAGCCTTCTTTGACAGAACAGGTAGACCCAGGAATGGCATGTTAGCACTCCTCCTGCGGGCTTTGAATAGCTTCTTGTGGGATGCAGCTGTTTCCTCAAGGGAGAACACAAAAAAATCTGAGCCAGGAGGGAAGTGTGCCAGCTGTCTGGTTCTACCTGTGATCCTGCCAACCACCAGCCCCAGGCCTCAATGAAGGGCGGCTTACAAGACTGAATAGAGAGCTTTCATTCACTCTTGTCTTTGGTGCTTGTTCCTATGTGCTTGAGAAGGGGATAAACATTGTTTCAACTAAAGTCCCTTTGTGTCCTTTTTGTGTGACTGGCTGATGATACAGCACTTTTAAAAGCATGACCAGCTGCTTTGAAACTTAACTGTCTCTATTTAAAGTTTCTTCAACTGAGATTACCTATAAAAACTGTTAACCCAATAGTATCCTCCCACAGTGCAGATTTACACAGTATACACTGCACACCGCTGTATAATGAAATACATAACCCAGTGTAATGGAAACTGAATATCTGAGGAACAGATGTGTTTTGTTTACTGAGGTCGAGGTTGGGGGATCGTTTTGTTAACACACAGCAATTACATTACATATGAAGTCTCCAAAAACAAAAACATGAGTTCTGTGTACGATTGACCGGTGGGTTAGTTTCCTCGAGATGTGAAAACCAACAAAAAAACAAAGAGTGCAAATTGTGTTGAGTGTAAGGCTGCTATATTATGTACTGAATGTTTCTCTTCTCCATGTTCATTCTTTCAAGCTAACAAGGCCATCCCTGAGCAGGGCGTAAAATTCAACTCCTGTTGAATTTCAGAGTAAAGTGATGAGTATATTGTGCAGTCAATGTGAGTACGGTTAAGTACTGTGGTACTACAGAAATAGCAACTGTCTTCAATCCTGAGGTGTGTGTGTGAACCCCTTTTCCTCACTTGTTAAAAAAAAACAAAGAAAAAGCCATTTTGATAAGACTGTCAGGGTGTCTGTGTTTTTTCCCTTCTTAACCTTGTTTAGCTGACTGACAACATACATGGGACAACTAGTCATGATCAGAAGCTTAAAAAATACAGACGTATGGTACATAATGTAAGTATTGCCGTCTGGGAAAGGCATTACCTTCTTTTAGGATCACAAGTAATTGCACTACAATAAGCAGTTATGTACAGTATGGTACACCACAGCAAGCGCAGGAATAGCAAAGGGGGGGGGGGGGTTGCTGACAAGTGTGCAACACAAGTGTTACGACGAAAACACAGGCCTTGCAAGTCAGAGGCTGAAAGTGCGACTGAGTTTCAGTTTAAGGCGAGTTGGCGGGGCTGAGGGTGGGGCTGGAGGCGTCCGAGCGGCTGTAGTCACTGAGGGAGCCGGGACGTGTGGTGCTGCCGCCGCTGCCTCCGTGCGGCCGCTTCAGCATGCCGGGCTGGAAATCTGAGTGGCGCCGGGCGTGCTTCATGAGGTGGTCGCTGCGCATGAAGCGTTTGTCACAAAGCGGGCAGCCGAACTTCTTCTCCCCCGTGTGGGTGCGATAGTGGCGGGCCAGCTCATCGGAGCGGGCGAACTTCTTACTGCAGTCTGGCCAGGTGCATGGGAAAGGCCGTTCTCCTGTAACACACAGAGGGAAAGAGAGACATCAGTGTAAATTACAACATCACAATAACAAAGTAACATGACAGTAAGAGCAGTGACCCTTAGTTTCATCATTTAGCCTACTTTGATGGCCATTGTCCAAAAATGTCCCATGTTTTGTATGTCATAGCCTAGTTTAGTACACTGCACTTTTGTATCATATCATACGGCAAGTGTTTTCCAATTACGTCAGTCTAATAGGAAAATCTACTTGCACCTGTGCACCCTGAACAGGGGGCTACTGGGAGGGACTCAGTGAAGATCATTTCTGCTGATATTTTTGCCAGAGCTGATTATTGTGTGGTATTGCAGTGCGTCCATTTAAAATCTTCATATTGAAAAATGCAACTGTATGGTGTAACTGAAGTCCAAGCAGGTTGATTTGACCACTGTTGGTGAATGAGAGCCCATTGCTGATGCAAATGGATAAAAAACTGAAAAAAGCATTTTTCAAACTATTATTGGGGAGATGCAGGTCAAGAATGTAAATGATGTGTGTTTTGTAGTAAATTAGCCAAAACATGCAAAATACACCATTAAGTGCTTTATGTTGCATACAATGAGAATCACTTAAAGTGGACCTATCCATAGCCTAGCCATACCTATACGTCTGACGTTTTTTTTTTCAAAATACCAAACAGTTCACCCATTGTAGCCATCCCTCATACTGCTCAAACCCCTCTTTTGAAGCCCTGTTAGAGAAACGTGGATCTTGGGTCCTTAGCTTGAAAAAAAAGAAAGAAGAGGAGGCGGAGCTAATGCCTGATCAGAATTCTACCGGAGATAAAGTTAAATTATTCTGTGATAAAACGCCATCCTGTTTAAAGCACGTCAAGGATTATTTCTGAAATAGTATGGAGCTCAAATGCTTTTTCTCTTGCAGGTTTATCAAAGGGTGAGTTCTTTATTTTATTTTTATTTTATGTGTTCTACACAGTACAGGTTAGCTCTGAGTGTTAGCGAGGTTTGCTAATCTAAACAAAAACGAGATTACGTCCAAAACACGTCAGGCATTGTTTCTGATAGCGACTTTCTGTGGGTCCGCTGCCGATTTGACATCATATCGGCAGCAAATCTGTATCCGCTCGTTGTACACCCGTTTTTAAAAGATTTGGGTACGGAGGAAAAGAGAGAGGGTTTTATTTTCTGACGCTGCGTGAGTTCCCCGACGCACCGGGGACACATGTATAAAAGACATCACAAAGTGCATGTTGCATGATAGGTCCCCTTTAAGTCTAAAGTAAAGATAGTGTCAGTGAGTAAAACTGTTTTTATGTTTCACTGAAACATAAAAACAGTTGGTCGCTGTTTCACTGAAACATAAAAACTATGAAACACAAGACACGTATCGTGATGCTCGCCATGATCCACATGGTAGTCACTGTAAGGTGTTTACAGGTTAACAAGCCATGAAGCCTGCCATGCACAGTTTATAAAGATTGTCCAGGCCTGCTGAACAAGACTGTGTTGTTTTCAATACATTGTAGATTTAGTGAGTCATCAAAGAATAAGGATCACAAGATTTGTTGCTAGGGCTGATGTAAAGGGAAAGATATAAAAACAACTAGGGATGCACGATAATTATCGGCCCGATAATGATCGGTCCGATATTAGAAATGATGACGTCATCCCGATAAACCGATACCAGTATTAATAGCCCCGATAATATACAATATATTTTTTGGGTAAAAAAAAAGAAAAAAATACTGCGGTGTGGGTGGATTGGGATGAGGGGCGCTTGTTTTTCACTCGGCTCCTCCCGTTTTGCCAGTACTGTGGTATTAGTGGTTTAGGAAGAGGGGAGTTCTTCACAAATCCAGCGCTCCCTAACTCATGCCTGGCTGTGACGTAAATGGTGTGCGGCCGTGAAGCCAGGACAGTAAACAAACATGTAGTCGGTGGTATGAGCGTTGGAGCTATGTGCAACTCAAGGCATATGCTCGAACCGGAGCTGCCTGGACGCTGCAATCATGTTGCGCACTATCCGTGCTGAGTGTGCTGACTTTTCGTACAATGTCCCACTGTCTGGCTTCCTGCATAAAGTCAAGTGCTCGGCGCAGTTGTGGCGAAATGTCGCTCCTCTGTTTTCATTTAAACAGCTCCTTATATCCGTTAGCGCAGCTAGCTAGCACCAGATGCTAACAACAACAATGCACGTAAGGTCTCTCTCTCGCTCGCTCGGGCCACACATACACACACCCTCCCGGTCGTCCAGATGGCCAGTCGGTGCCTGCCGGTGAGCGTGGAAGTGTGGTCTGCCACAAGCGGGCGGCAGGAGCGGGGCTGTCAGCATCAGCTTGTAGATGGTATTTTAAACTCGATGCGCTCTGAAACTACGGGGCGGCCGAGGAAAAAAAATACACATGCGTTAATCGTGTTAAAATAATTAGTGGCGTAAACATTTTTTTGTTATCGGTATCGGTCTTGAGAAGCAGGAAGTTATCGGTATCGGTATCGGTTTCAAAAACCCAATATCGTGCATCCCTAAAAACAACCCAAAACGTCTTCAAAATATATCAATTTTTTTGAAGAGAGACTAATAAGGCTGTAGTGAGACGTGGGACTTGGGGTAAATCACCCAAAAATTGGCGCTGTGCTGTAGGAGCAGGCACAGTTTAATTATCTAAGCTCCAGATGCTAATCACACTCACAATGGTTACCCAGACCATTTTCCAACATGTAACTATCTGTGACTCGGCACATGGGAAATTACACCCTTCCCCCTTCCATCAGGCAATAAAAGTGGGCTTTGACACAAATCTAGTCAATGCCAGATGGTACTATATATCTTGCGGTTTCCTTCCATTCTGATGTGGAAACAGCATGGAGCCTAAATGCAGCGTTGTGCATCGACTGGCCAATATGTGTAATAAATGGTATTCCTTTTAGTTCCATTTCAGTGAGTTTCTGCCTGACAATAGTTACATCCAGCGTTCAAATTTTACCAGCGTGACCTTGCAGTCTTATAGCAAAGGGCGGCCCTCCGTACTCTTTGAATGGTATGGTTATTTCATGAAAATAATAACATTTAATCAACATGCGCACGTCTATACCAAGGATTTGAGGTATGAAAAGGAATAGACCTCGATGCACGAATGTTTTTAGGTGGCATGACAAATGAGTATAATCACAGGCCTGCCAAAATCTTTCTTTGTTCTGTGGTTTCCCTCAGGGCATCAATGAAAACAGTGCTGTTCAGCATCAAACACTCATATGCTACCTGATGCCAGTGAGTCTCAAAAACAAGAACTTGGTGCACTACTAGCCTCTGTCCCTCCCCCCCTATACTGCATGGTTACAAAACATGCAGACAGACAGAGCAAGTCTAGACAGCCCAGTCTGTGTTTCTGCCTCTGACGCCTCACCTCAGCTCCAGACAAACTAAGTCGGCCCTGCCCACTACAGTTCCTGCGTGCTTAGTGTATGTAAAATCTGTAACTGACATATAGACATTTGCATAAACACACCACACATATCCTTGTCTCCTTTTTCCCAGAACATCTATGCGGTTCACACTCTGCTGTAAGAGTAAACACAAAAAGAAACCATCTGCCATGCATGACTTATAATAAAAAAGAAAAGAAGAGCTTTGGTTGTTTTACACTACGCACACATCCTGAAATGAACCCTGGATAAAAGGAGGCGGTTTATCTTTTCACTCATCTTGTTGAAGGGACTCATGATAGTCTGATTTCATGCCTTATTAGCAAGGGAAGCAGCATGTGCTGTCACCTGGCATTGCAAAATGAGTTATTGACAAAAAAGTAGAGCTTAGCTGCTTAAGGCTCAATAACCAGTGTAACAGATCCAACTACATTAATATTTAACAGGACACCAGAGAGGCAGGCTGAGATATCCAGTCTTACTGCCCTGATACAGTAATGCATTCATAGTGGAAGCATCAGGTATCCAACAGCAACTCACCGAGACGCATCAAATTATTTAGAGCTCTGTGACTTCTTAGAAAATGATAAATTAACACACAAGCTGCCCATTTTCACCTCCTAAACTGCTTTTGGCATTTAGGTCAACAATATGAATATGCATCAAAAATCCTGCTGCTTTAATGTCAGCCTTCAAAGGTTCACTTACATAACGGAAAAAAACATGCAATGCCCCAATTAATTGTGATTCTTTCATAACATGAGGATGGGGATTTCAATGAGGAGTGAAAACCAATTTACTGGTAACAATGAGGAGGTTTAGGGAACAAACGGCTTAATCATGAATGAAAAGTATAGGGGTCTGAGCTTAGAGGATGGCACTGAGATATTTCAGGAGACTGCAGCTATTACTCAGTATCTCTGCTGCGAGCTACTCTCCTTGCCCTGCTCCTATTCCCATCTAGTTACAGTGTTGTCACAGCAGGCCATTGTGGCGATCGGGATGCTAGGCCCACCAATTGGTTATCCCATCTTTTGGCAGCGTCCACATCCAGGGTGTGGTTTGAGTTTCTCAGAATGTGTCAGTTGTAGAGGGTGAAGGGGGGTAACGGGGGAAGCTTTTTCTTAACGAACACAGTGACCCAGTTACGCGCAAAGTGAGTTACATAATGCGCGCAAACTGTATTCCTACTGAGCACGAGTGTCCCCCCTCCAAGGCGATGCAATTATGTCACAGGTACTCTTGTTATACAACTGTTCTCTCTGAGGCCACTGGGTCAGTAAATAAACAGCTCATCTCTGCTTCTTTCCCACCATCCGTCTCTCATTCATATCTAGGAATCTTTGGCTCCTCGTTTTCTGCAGAATTGGTCAACAGAAATGGAATCAGGGTTTATGTCCCCTGGTGTACGGGAGCAGCGGCACATAAACTCAACTCGGTCACCTGCTCCAACAACAGCTACCAGCATTTTAAACGAGAGTAGATAACATTCCTGGTGTGTCCTCAGGCATGAGTCAAACTCATACAGTGTACAGCTGAAACATTTGTGTAAGCCTGCCATATGAGAGCAAGAGTAAATAGCTCTGCAGAGT